AGAACCGAAACTTCCTCATTGGGGCGCAGAAGTTCGTTGAGTAGGCATTGGAAGAGTTTCAGGTCTGCCGAGACCCGCTCTTTGGAGGCACCAGCTGTGGATTCGGGAAGTCCCTGAATAATCAGACATTGTCCTCTGACCGGCGACACTCTCGAGAACACAGTGGTTTCGTGCTCCGACATAGGCAATATGTGGTTGCCATGATCTGACGAGGATATAAGCTGCAGTCGATTAATATCCTCATTCGTCTCTGTTTTGTTGGCATTTTCATCAAAGTCGGAAGTTTTTTGCGATAGGTTGAGGGTTTTAGGACCCATGTCATTTCCCGTGATGGGCGACACGGACGCCGACGTCCCTGGTTCCGGTTCTTCGGAGGCATTCCTCGGAATCTGCTGTTCATGTCCTTCGACCTTTTTGCTGCACGATTTCTTTTTTTCCTCTGGTTTTTTATCGTTGCTTCGCTGGTTGTTGTCGTCTTGTATTTTATGTGTTTGTGCTGGGTGTGCCGTGACAGCTGCAGAAGGTGTTGATGGCGTATTTTTTGTGCGACGTCCTTTGGCCCTACTTCTAGTTATTCGTCCAACAGGTACATTCGCATCGTCAAGTGTGTCTAGTTTACATTGTAGAAGGGTTTTCATCTTTTCCATCTCTTCCTCAAGACGGTTGATTTTGCCGGCCAATATCTCGCATCCACTGCAAAATCGATCGGTATGCGGCACGCATTTACTATCAAGTAAACTTTGCGACATCGCCCGCCGTCGTGCCGCGGTGGCCGAGGGGTTAGCGTGCGCGACTGAGATGCCGATGGTCGGTGGTTCGTCTCCGTCATGCAGCGTATTATTTTGTGTGACTGCGCAAATCGTCATTATGTAGTGGACTTATGCAAAACGGACAAATCTGCAGGAATTACAAGCTATTTCTTAAGGCGCAACTGTGGACAGTGCCTATGCTTATGCTGGATACGCCGAAAATTTCCAGGGAACGCTTTTTTCAGGTAAATCTATGGTAAAGTGAGACAACTCGAGTTGTCCGAATTTAAGCAGCACAGCAAGCAGTGTAGAAATAACGACTCAGCCTTATCGTAGATGTTGCTCCTAACTTCTGTGAGCAATTTGAGACGGTGTATTGGATGGGTAGGCCCTGTAGACAAGCCGAGATTTCCGACAGATAGACCGTTTTTGGTGAAGTTTGTTCTGATCGAACGATAGGAGTATCGATGGCGATAGCTGGAGGATCGTTGTCAGAAAGGCGTTTTATAATCCACGTTTTGGTGAACGACAGTCGTTTTCAGCGAAGAGACTCGATTTAAAAACTTCCGTCTTGCAACTCAAAATTCAAACTGCGCGGCAGATCTAATATAGTTATTTATTAAGTTGTTATCTACGCAATCGTAATATGTGTTGGTCCGAACGGTGCTGGTCTTTTTTGAAAAGGCAAGCGGTAGGCAACAATGTATAAATACGTGGTCACTATCAAAGAGGTTCTTTTTGAAATCAACAAGAAGAGGAGCAATGTCATTGGTAAAGATTAGATTTAAAATGTGATTATCTCTTGTTGGAGAGCGCATCAATTGTTACCAGGCAGAAAAATTGACAATATCTTGAAAGGGTTGGAATCTAGGTGGACAGATATCGAGAGGCCGGTCTATTTCAGAAAGTTAAAATCCCGAGTGATTATTTTAATATCGAAAGCCTCTTCCAAAAATAATTTAAGGATTTCACGGAGTTGTGAACCATCATTGGCTGTAGAGTTTGGGGGGATTGTGGATACAGCTTTTCTTTGCGGCGAGAGAATAGCAGATGCAAAGCAGAAGTTTCCCGTGAATGAGGAAACATCCAAGTAATAGGGAGAGTGCTTTAGGTAGGATTTAAGATAAAGAAGACAACCGTCCCCACGCCTAGTCGTGCGGTCTTGACGGTAAAAATCGAAGTCATCTATGAGAAGGGCAGTGTCAGGAATTAGAGAGTGGGTCCAAGATTATGTTACACACATAATATCAGGCGTCATTTCGAGAGCGATGGCTCTGATTTGGGCCATCTTGTTTATAACAGACCTGGCATTCAATAATATAATATCTAATTTGTTTCGAGCAGCAAGGCTACTGTTGACGATTTTTAAAATAATTTGGATGCGGATATGTAATCTGTGAATCAATGACACTTGGAGAATAAGTACCGGTTAGTCTAGAGTTATTGACGTTCGGGGAGTCATTAAGAAAAGGCTGAGCAAGAGACCTAAAGGATGTGGGGATATAGTTTTCGAGCATTGGAATGCTAGCGGAGTTAGAACATGGATAGGTTTGTTGCTAATTAAGTTGTGCAGGAAGAGGAGAAGGAGGGAGCCTAGAAGGAAAGTAGAGGCTAGTGGGGGGTAGGCAGCTATAAGAATTAAATCGTGGAAAACCAGGTCTAGGTTGGAAGTCAAAGGAGGTAGATTGACTTACCTGAGAGCAGTTTGGCTTAAGTGGTGGGAAGCCTGAACTGGGTTGGGGGATAAATGACTTAGGGCAATTCACGTATAAATTATTTGCTGGATATATAGGAGGGCTTTGGTGAGTAACCGGTACGCAGGACAGAGAATTATTTGGGGATATAATTGGAGCTGCGGGGTTTGTAAACAAGCTGGGCTGTAAAGGCTTGGTAGCTCTAAGCGAAGACGGCGTACCCGAAATGGAACTGTACTACCCTTCTTTTGGGTCGGAGTCTGATTCAGTTTTGAAGTTTCACCATCCTGACGCAAAGCCACGGTTGACTTAACTGTAGAGCTTGCAGCACACATTTAAACATGGGAAGTTATCGGTCTAGCTGATGTAGACGAATTTTCATGTATCCCAGCCTGGCTATCTAGGGGATACGGAACGACAGCTGGGACTGCCACTGCTAATTTCAGGGCAGACGAATGTGTCAAGTGGCCTGAGTGAGAGGGAGATGCAGGAGAATGGGAAGGAGGAAGTCAGATGTTGCAGGGTTAGGATCAGCTGAATCCTCACGGTCAGTTGTATTATGACGGAGTTGGTGAGCATAAGACTGAGAAGCAGTGGGTTTACGTGAGTAGAGGGACCCGATTCTACGCTTTATGGGAGTAAACTCATGACAAAGGAGAAATTTTGCATTCTCCAGGTGCGCAGTGACACGCTCTGGATGGGCAAATATTGAGTCGACCTCGATTGGTGAAAACAACCTAAATAAATCAGTCCGAGTTTTGCTACGGGTGGACAAGCGTTTAGCATCGGGTATTTTGTAGTTGAAGCCACATGAATACAGGTAATTTGTCACAACTTCAAGTGGCCGAGCAGATCGAGGAACAGTTTTTTACTAAATGCTGTAAGCACGCCTTTGTCTATCACTGTATTCACTGGTAATCATGTGAACAATTGAGTCCAGTTGCCTACATTCTACGGAGGGAATATCAGAGATTTTCCCTTCGAATAGTACTCCAAGAATTGACAACAGATTGCCAAACTTAAGCATTAAATCTTGGCAGTTGTCAAGTGCAGACAGATTAAACGGCCTACAAGTTACAACGGGTAATGACTGACTAGTTATATTTGCTGAATTAGATTTAGTTAATCTTTCTGAATTAGATTTAGTTAAGCCTTCTGATTTAGATTTAATTAAGCTATGCTTATATCCAGAGGCTATGAACTTACGCCGACCTTTGACTTCCACTCTCATCTTGTCTCGAAGCAAGTTTTAATTAAGAATACTTCTGGCAGGCAGTTGAGTGAATTTCATATAGAGGCTAACGATGTAAAAATAAATTGCACAGTTTGAGAGAAATCGAATGCACAAAATGGGGATTTCCGATTGCGACTGGCGGTCAGCAGGCACAGACCATCAGAATTCAAAAA